GAGATTCCCTATTATCTTTGTGATAATTTTTTTTGGAGATGCGTGGGGAATTTGGGAAGGCACGGGGGGTCTCCGGACCGATATTCGAGTTATATCGCTAACTCTCATCTAGGAGGAAACTCCGTATGTGTGGGTCCTACCTTCTATTCCCATTTTTTTTTCAGGTTAAGCAGATGGGATCGAACCAATGATCTGGTGATAAATGCCGATATTAACGGATGAGCGGAGGAGCTTATCAGTTCATTCATATATAATATATTATTATATAATTATATATATATATATATATATATATATATATAGTATTATATATATATATATATATATATATATAAGGTGACACCCTAGGCTCTTACCTAAGGACGCGCGCTTTTAGAATCACATCATTTTCTAAATTTTTTATGCTGCATCCACTCCTGTTGCAACTTGATCTTACACGTCTTAAACCCAAAACACATCAATTTTGGGGTGAATACCCGCTTGTGTTTTTGACCATTCGTTGCACAGCCGTGTAAAAAGTTCTATTCATTCAAAACCCTGTTAAAATTGCATACGACGTGGATAATATGCGTCAAAACACGACGTTTCACCCCCAAAAATTGGCGGCGGGCCGCGTGATCGTGTGTCTTGGTTTAAGAACGTGTAGAATCAGTTTCAACGGATAGCGGCATCGTAAAAAAAATTAAGAAATGATGTGATTTTTAGTGCCAACGTCCTTAGGTGGGAGCCATAGGGGCTCACATATAGATCACTTTTCCCTATATATATATATATATATATATATATATACCGCGTATATATATATATATATATATATATATATATATATATATATATATACACACACACTAGTTTTTGTGCACGTGCATGCACGTGGTTAAATACCAAAATTATTTATTTTCTTACTATAAAATAAGTCAGATTCATTTTGAGTTAAAATCTATAAACATAGATTATTATATTTGCCATAAATTTTATTTAAATGTTTTTAAAAGTTTTTATTTAAAAAAAAAATTTATGAAATAGATTTGTGTGTTAAATTGGGATTAATATACTTTTATATACTTGCATACACAACGTTATTTTTTAAATTTGTATATATCAAACTTCATGTAACACATTTGTTTGTCAGATTAAATCATCGATCTCCAACTTGTTTATTTTAGTCATTAAATATAGTATTAAGTTTGAAAAAAATACTATATTATCGACGTGTTAATAAAAATATAACCAAATACTTAATATTAAGATAGTTTGTGTAAGCTCAACACAGAGCACAAACTTTTCACAAGACTGGAAGATATCTTAATTATTGATTGATTTAAAATAAAAAATAAATACTAAAGATTAATGATAACTCTAGTATAATTTTATATGACAAAAGCATATTGAAAAATTTGCGTGAAAATCCCTTCTAAATATTCCTAATTTTACTAAAAACTTTAAGCTTTACTATAGAATATTCAAAAAAATTATCCTTTTTTTCTTATTTTTTCATATTTAATTAAGCCGAGATTAATTTTTCTCCACCTTTATTTTTTTCTTAGGCAATTCTACAGTAGTGTCTTCATCATCTACATCAATTGTGATATCAGGTTGGTACATAATAAAGAGCAAAAGACAAGACAAGAGTGTAGAAAGATCACTGCTAAAAGTACTTAATATAAACACTGCTAATGTACTTAATATAAACACTGCTGAAAGTAATAATGAAGACCTTAGCAAAATAGAAGATCAGAAACTCAAAAGAAATTTTGACTTGAGGAAACAAGAATTGGGTAATGTAAGAACTAAGAACTTCTGTTTATAAAAATATATATGCTTTGAGAGAATAGGTACCCCAACACCCAACATTCGACACTCTTTACCACTAAATAGAAATCTTAACCTGGATTTTCAAAAAGAAAAAGATGACTTAGAAGGAAAACCCAGCAATATTATAATCTCTAATGTATATAAAACCATTTAATATATGTTATGGTTTCTCTGTTGTTTGCCTAAACTTACAAATAATGTAGTATGCTTATTAACTTTGCCCAAGCTACAACTTCTATCTTGGGAGAACCTAAAGTTACAAACTTTGTATATGGGGTGTAGTTTATCTCAAACACCACAAAAATCCATTAACATATCATAACTTACAGACCATTTAAAGCTTAAATTGATACATCAACAAAAAGGCAATGAACGCCTTAAACCTATGGGTCCAAAGAACATGCATAACCCCCAAATACAAGATACACAACAAATTTTGATCTAAAGATGGCATCTTTGAAGCTTAAATCTAAATACAGTGTCAAGACAAGTTATAAATCAAAATTAAAAATGAGTAAAAGATATTAAATTAAAAAGGCGAAATTAAAGTTTCCCCAAATCTACCTACTTCCACAAACAACAAACAAAATGGAGCAAAACCCAAAAGGTAATCACCTAAAACATCAACAACCCACGTCACAAATGCTGGGGAAAAATAGCAAAAATATTAGAAGAAGAAAAAAAAACCCACCTAATTCAAGACTCTCTCTTGCAAGAGGAAGCCAAAAACCCTCCAGGATCAAAGCTTTAGGAGCTCAAAAGATGAAGCAAGTAAGTGGGAATCTCTCCTGGGTCTTTGAGAACTCCAGAGAAAGAACAAAGGATTGTATTGGAGAGCTAATAAAAATATAGAATCCCAAGAGTTTTCTCTACACTATTAAATACTATTTATTTATTTATACTAACTATGACAAGGTTGGTGCAAAAAAATAAATATGATGTCCAGTACAAACTCTGGGGGCCCAAACTAAAAATAATTAGAATTTGATTATGATTAAAATAGTTATACAATTTAAAAGTTAGAATTTAATTAGGATTAGGATAGTTCAAACTTTGAAGTTATTTGATTAGGATTAGAATAAATCATTAAACACAAAAGGAATAATTTATATAAAATGTTAAAAATATTTGATGGGCAAATATACACTAAAAGCTGCTTCCAAAATTATATATTAATTAGATGTTTGGTAAAATTGTGCTTGAATATCATTACAATTGAAAATAAGCAGAATAGACATAACTTTAGCTACATATTTAGCAAGAGCGAAAACATTTCTTTGCATGAGATAAACCCTAATTCAGGATAATATAGTGAAAAGATAGTATTGTCAAAACCTTAATATAGTGAAAACATTTCTTTGCGTGAGAAAAACCTTAATCCAGGCTGAGGTCTATTGTGTGGTTTTCATCCTTTTTTCTACAAAAAAAGATAGTATTGTCAAAAGTCAAAAATATATATATGATATGAAAATTCTAAAAAATAGTAGGTGCTTTTAAAACTACCCTAAGATTGCTCCTTAAAAGCAATAAGGTTTTCAAAGTTAGCAGAAGGTTTCAGAAAAGGCAACACCAATTTGGCCTTCATACCGTTATATTTAATGCGTCCTGCTCCTAAGTTATCAAGTAGACAGCTTTTTATCCCCAGTTGCCAAATAAAATTTAGCCAACTATTATTTCCTTTACTTAAAAAGGGATATTTTACTGTAATAATAAATGGCTAAAGTTAAGGGGTTTTGTGACATTCCCGAAATCAGGGGGATTTTGCAAAATTCACAAAATTAACGAGAGTTTTGTGCGAAATAACTATCTCAAGCTCAACTGAGTTTTTCGAAATTTACTATTTTTAATTGAGTTTGAATCTCCTCCTCTGCAAAAAGTAGTGGAGATATTCACTACTTTTGATAACAACCACTAATTAAATAGTGGTGATTGTGATTCCTTTTAAATCTAACACTCATCATATCTCTATAAAATTGCATTTCAATTGCTATAATACCTTCCCAATATCATCTAACTTTTCACAGTCAAAATATATATTTTTCTTTTTTTTTTGTGTGGAACATGCTACTCCACTTGCATTGTCGGCAAAAGACGATCAAAAAAAAAAAAGTTTATCTTGCACCTATCCAATCTTTATTTCTACCGTGGAAATTGCTTTTGCCCTCAAGAGTGCCCTTCCGAGTGTCTCAAGGGTCCAAAGCAGTGACTAGTGAGTGAGAATCAAAGTGATGATGCTTAATTGACTGATATATGATCACGTCACTTCATTAGCTTAACACGTACCCTTTGTAGTGGTTTCCTAGTCCGCAAACACTCGACAGAGCGTTTTATCCGTGAATGGGACAGGGGATGATGCTTGAGAGCAATTTGAGGTCCAACCAACGTCCAAGGGGTGCATGGCAAGCTAAGTCCATTATTATGGTGGTTCCGTGACCTTATTGGTTAGCAAGTGTGGTTTTTATCACTACCACATTTGAGGCCTATGGGGACGGTTGTGAACCGTCACAATAGTCATAAAAACCGTTGCCTTACATCTATGGGGACGGTTCAACAACCGTCTCATTTACGGCCGTGCCCGTAGGTCTACTGGGACGGTTTATGATCCTAGTGGAACGGTTTGTAAACTGTCATCATTAGTACCCTAAGGGAACGATTTTGCTAAGGGGTCGGTTCGTGGTTTAGATCAAGTGGAACGGTTGTATATCAAGTGGAACGGTTTTTAGATTCTAAGCAATGGGAACAGTTTGATAACAAGGGGAACGGTTTTTAGGTTCTAAACAATGGGAACAGTTTGATATTAAGGGGAACAGTTTTTACTTTTGTGAAATGGGGACAATTATTTAGCAAATGTGACGGTTTTAGATTTTGGAGCAATGTCAATGCTTATACAACAGTGGAAATAGCTTTCGGTTTTACGCTATGACAATGCTTGAATAGTTACAGTGATAAGTACTTTACAAATTTTACACATAGCAAATTGCTACAGTAAAAATCAAATGCTACAAATATATGGTAGCAGCGATATTTATATGCTGTTGTAATATTTGCAAACAAAGAAATTATAAAGTCTAAGGTTTACAAACAACACCACCAAAATCTTAATCTTAACAGAACGAACCTTAAAAAAGAATGATATTGCAACAATTCATTAACGGAAGGAACTTTTTTGCTTTTGTCCAAAATACATATCTATATTCCTCCGTTATTAAATCGCAAAAAAGTTCATCACTTAACAGATTCTGGAACTTGCTCAGAGGAATCCATGATCTTTTTATTTTTATTCTGGAGCATGGTTTTAGTGACACCCCTCCCCATAAGACGTACACGTCCAGGATGTTCATCTTTCTTGACTAAATCCCATGCATCATCAACTTCATCTTGAGATTTGAGTTCTTCTAAAGCACCCTGCATTAGCAAAATTTATATTTAGTTGCTATGCATGTTATATGAAAATTAGGACCTAAAAAGCAATATATGAATATTAATATTTAGGAAATATGGCACATACTTACTATCAAATTGATTGTTTTCTCTCCTTGTGGATTTATCTTCTTTTTACGGGTCTCAATAAACATTTCAGCTTCACTTGGAGGTCTTCCCAACTCATTTTCCTATAATAAAGACATGATAGTTAAAATATTGATAAATACATTAAAAACGAACAAAAAGAAAGGATGCAGTTAATAAGTAACACTAAAAAAAATTGAAATACCATTTTTTGGCGAATCCTCGCAAAACTTATTGTCCCCGTAGTGTGCATATATTCTAGACCTTCACGATTTGCTTTGTTGGTCTCACTTGTTTTCTACACATTTAGAAGGAACATGTATTTAAAAAACAACCAGACCATTAGTATGAAACGATAAACGAGTGAACAAGAAACGCTAAACGAGCCTATAAGGCTATAACTCCTGTAAGTATGAATTCAATAATTTATATATGCAACATAATAAAATACATAAGGGTTTGTCCATGTCCAGGTCCAGTGTAGTAACACTGGAGCAAGTTCTGACCATAGGAGTAACTAAAATGTTTTCCCCCATAATTAACTACTCCTAAAATGTTTTCCCCCATAATTAACCACAGTCCTGTATTAGATAATTAATGCAATAAATATGTAACTTATTCCTCTTTTTGTTAGTGTCAACTTGAGTTTCGTATGTGCATGAAGTTTGTACCAGGAATTGCCATCGCCTAATAGCTTTCAGTGCAAAAGAAAGAAAAAACAAATTTCAAGAATCAAGCACATATCTTATAATCCTGATTGCTATAAGCATGATAAAGCAATGTTACTGTTATTAATTAGTTGAACTACTCTAGGCTTCAAAGCAAAGACAAGTACTAATTATATGAAAGTTGAAAGTTATTTGCTAATTGCTAGATGTTCCAGTCAATATTACATGAACATTGTTTTGAAGAGACTCAGATGCAAGTCCCATGTTCAACATGAGCATTTGAAGTGGCTGATACATGCATTTAGTCAGATCATCACAGATCATCAGATACAGAATTCCTAGGACCAACTACAATTCCAGGAAATAGAGCATTTACATAGAAATGTAGTATTATTTTAGAAAGTAAAGTTGCAATTACTGATTAATACTGACCAAATTCATACAATATACACAAAAATGAGTTTCATGGCAGGTTTTGGAAGATAGCGTGTAAATTTTGTGGACATGTCTGTTTCAATTTAACAATAACTGAAACTTCTTTTAAACCCACTCTGATTATTACCGATTAATACTGCAGAACACTGAAAGTTCATGGGGGTTTAGTGTAACTTAACATTCATAAACCTATACTATATTATACAAAATTTTGCCAATTCCTTTCCTACTTTAGAACTGGCAGCTTCTGGTATTACTTGAATGTCCATAGTTAACAAAGCAGGTAGGTAAACATTTCTGACGCCATTCCATGCTTCGACAACTCTTAACACAATCTGAAACATATTTATATTATTTTATTAGCAAATAGATAGCTGTGACAAATAACTTCTTCCATGCTTCGACAACTCTTAACACTAATCTTCCAGGATCTTCTATCTTTCATTTTCATTGACATTTTCATTCAAAGAATTGCCAGGAATGCTTACCGTGTTGTTAATTTCTCGGCATTGCAGCAATTGCTGCTGAAGGCTTTGAACTAGCTCATGAAGCTTTTAACTGCAGGAATTAGGGAAATTCAGTAAATCGATCACTTAGGCAAACTGTCAAACCCTAATTCTACCAACTGCTCCAAACTTCCACAAAAATCATGGATTGTTAATGCCAAGTATGAATTATACAGTAATCTTAGAGGTTTAGCAAGTATCCCATCAAATTCCTAGTTTGTGCCAAGTAAACTCACTTCGTACAATTCCACGAATTGGGAAATTAGGGAAATTGTTCATTTTATCAAACCAATTGTCAAGCCCTAAATTCTATCAATTGCCCTAAGAAAGCCACATAAATCCCCAAATCAAACCCTAACACCAAAAACAATAGAAACTAATGATATCAACAAAAAAATCCTACCCAGAATCAGAAAACCAAGAAAGCAACATACCAGTATCTGACAGCCTTGCATCTCGAGCACCTCGTCGTTGCGTGCCGATAGCACACAACACACTGTGGCAGCAGAACCTGAGCTGGAGGCGGTGGCATCGCCCAATCCCCAACCCTAATTTCTCTGCCGGCATCAGCTCCGTCATCATCAACCGCAGGAGATGGCGCGAATGGAGGCACCATGTAAGCAAGGGTGTCGGCCTCGGCCCTGGCCGCCTCCTTGGCTGCCAGCCACGCCAGCCTCCTGACCTCCTCCCTCCTCACCACCGCCATCCTCCATTTCCGTCGACCCAAGAACCAGATCACGGCGGCAGCGATGACAGCGACCGCTACAAACCCTAGATCCGCTGTTGGAATAGGTCGCCGATGAGAGTCTCAGAGGGGTATTAAAAAAATTTCATTTTCTTATATAGCTACGCCTCTGGCTGCCTTAGACAAATAGGAGAGGAGTCGACGAGAGGAGAGGAAGATGAGAAAACCCTAGAACTATCGGGTGAAGAATAAAGGCTATCGGGTGAGGAGCGGTTCTGAGAGAGAATAAATCCTCTCTTTTGTTACAAAAGTTTGGGCACGAGCCCATAATAAAACCGTCCCTTTAGCCTTTGAAAGTTTTTTTTTCAAGCCTAGTTCAAGCCCAACATTTTATTTTGAAGCGTTGCCTTTGACTCTTTCGTGACGGTTGTAACCGTCACACAACCGTTCCCTTAGGAGGCAAAGGAGACAGTTTTGAACCGTCTCCATATAACCGTCCCCATATATCTATTTTGTGGTAGTGTATGGTGGGAATATTATTATTTATGGACGTCGGAAATTAAAAGGTTAAATTTTGCAGGAGCATCTTCTTTTGTTTTATAAGAGACCCAAGTCTTGAGCAGCGGTCGCTAGGACACGACAGATGACCGCCCGAGTAAAATATTACAAGGAAATGTGTCTTCCATCTACGAGCCAGGAAACAGGGAAGGGGAAAAGGAGTCTAGGGATCCTATCGGTACCCCGCACTGTAAGCCACGAAGGGGGCAGTGAAATGATCCAATCTGCCACCCTGTTTGTTACAAGCGTGGCTTAGAACATCTCGCATAGTGCGGGAGATTCTGATAGGATCTTTACTTGAAAATAGAGTCTTGGATTTCAAATAATTAGCTCTCGTGTTGCGATTAGGTTGAGCATGTTTCGGTCTAAACCGAAAAAACCGACCCGAACCGACCTAGAAAAATTGGTTTTATGAGTAGAGCGGTTCGGGTCGGTTTGAAAACTTTTGCGGTTCGGATCGGTTTGAAAACTTTTCAACCCGAACCGACCGAATATAATGCAATACTACCTATTCTGATCTCAAACCCTACCCGACCCGTCCCCAAAGAGTCAAAAACTCAAACCCTAAACTCATTTTCTGAATCATTATGGGTTGAAAACAGTATCATTATATCAGTGTTTAATGCTTCATAATCTCCTACTTTGTTGATATCTTTTTTCTTTAACACAGTTTGTTGTTTGATAAGAAGTTTGATGAAGTTAGAACCGAACAAACCGAACCGAACCGACTTGCAACAGTTCGGTTCGGTTTTGAATAATAAGTGATTCGGTTTGGTTGTTCAAATTTTGGTAAAAACCGAACCGAACCGACTGTTGCACACCCCTAGTTGCGATGTCTCAGTTTATTTGGGAAAGAAGATAGAACATAATACATGAAATCAATAACAGACAAGTTTTGCAGGAATAAACAGCTTGAAATTCATGAAAGATATATTCGCATAACAAGTAGGCTTGATATTTATGAGACAACAATTATTGGAGGTTAAACAGAAAATTCCTCGAGTTACAATAACTAAGGAAAGATCTAATTATTTTGCACCAATTTGAAGAAGAGTGGTTAAACAGCACTCGGTACCATAAAGTTACAAAATGAATGAAATGGAAAAAAACATACAAGGTAATTATTATTACGTTTCAGTTTTGCTAAGATTAAAATCTTTAGCCAGAGCATTTGTAATTATTCAACTCTCCCCAAACAACCTCCTCTACTTTTTCCCACGACTCGGCCTTTCTCAGTTCATCCCAGAGGCTAAAGATGGCTCCCAGAACGTTCTCTTCGTGCAAAATACAGTAGCACCTGTAGACACCAGCATAAATTATAATAGACACATCAGTTTCCATCTTTTGGCTCTCAAAATATGATCTGATAAAAATTACAACAAAAAATTTCCGCTGCTTTTTAAGATCGAGAGCAAACAATAAAGTAAACTCATTAATAAGATGTCATTTCATACGGAGGGAAACTGATAGGAAAATCAATCAATATTATTCCCCAATGTTATCTCTTGATTGAGAAAGATCTTAGTTACCTTGTCTTTCTTTATGTTAAATGGAGTAGATACATACAGTTCGCTTGAATAGTACTATTTTTTTTTGGTATTAATTTAGTACCTCTATTAGAATGACAACACGGACTTGCTTAATTCATCGTCGATTTCAAGACAAACTAGAAAGGGCTGAAACTTTAGCCATTCACTTGAGCATAAGAGCAATACATAAAAAGTAGTAAAATTAACGTTTCCCTTTTCCTTCAATCGATATATGTTTCGCTTGAAGATGGAAGTCATCCTCTTATCTTCGCCTCTATCTTAGATTTTTCCTCGTCTTCATTATTCAAATAAAGAAAGCAGATAGTATTCTTTTTTAATTCCAAATTTCTCATAAATTCCCACAGCCCCTACTTTGTAATACTGCAACCCAGGCTACAATTCCCAGTTTCCTCTTTAAAATGCTTTTTGAGTCATAAATTAGCTCATGCACTTTTTTTTTCAGCTAACCAAATGATTTACCCCTATACATGAAAACAGAACATGGTCTTACCAAAAGCAAACTGAAAGAGGATAATATAACTAAAGTTTAGGATTAAGAAAAGGATTGCTCTGAAATCCTAATCTTCTCATAGAAGAGTGTATGGCTCATATTACATAGCTAGGTCGATATATGGGCACAAAACATAAGACAACAATTTGTAAAAGGTAGGGTTCATACAGACTTTCAATAGCTCTTATGTTTCTCTGGCTCCATTTACGTGCCCTATTAATTGTTTAAATACATTCTCATTATCTACCCTTTCTTTGGGGAATCCACTTCAATTGGTGAATAAAAACTATACTACTTCCGAGTTGAAGAAAATATTGAAAAGGTATGCATACCCCTTGTAAATCAGGTGAGATAGGCCAGTACACACATCAATAGTCTAGAGAGCAATAAAATGGAAGAAGAAATCAAATATTGGACTTATGGATCCTTACCCATTCATGTTGGTGATGACTGGAGATCAGCAGAGTTTCACCGTCATATGCTACCGTGTATGGAAATATATTAGTACTTACGTACTTCAGTACTACTTATCTAGTATGACCCTTGTGCACGCATGTGGCTAGACTTTGGGGGAAGACTTGGTTTTTTTTTTGTTTTTCCTTTTTTTTGTTGTTTTTTGGGGGGTTGGGGTTGGGGTTGGGGTTGGAGGGATATATATGAGGTCAACGCATGATTTGTGACGGCATTAATATGAGACGGAAGTATGTGTATCTTTTAAGGGCATATCAAGGTTAAAACGAAAATCTTAGATGAATAATTAAGTAAAAACAATGCATATAGAAAACAGGCTAACTTACATGGCACGATATGAAATTCTCTTAAGCTTCTTCCAGTTCTCTACCGAAACATAGGAAGGCACACTGTTCAATATTCTTGTCAGAGGGAGTTTGTAGCTTTCAAGAAATTGTTTAAGAAGATAAACGTCTCCTCTGAAAATATCTAGGTGTATCGGAATCAAGTCATATAAAGGATCCCCTGCACATAATAAAAAAATTTATCTATTTTGATTAAAACGTTTTTCTTTTTTCACTTCGAGATCGTGAACATGAAATTTAATAAGGTTTCAACATTTCAAGTAAACAAAAGAATATATGAAGAAACGAAAATAGAAACATAGCTTTTATCCCAAATATTTTGCTGAATTCCGAACATGAAACTTGCATGTGAAATTGGTTTTCAATACTTCAATTGAACGAATCGGGGCATAAAAGTAGCAGAAACAACAATAAAAACAACATGGACTCTATATCAAATCTTTCGCTCAATTGCATTAACCTTTCTTCTAAACTTAGCACTTAAGGAATAGAAAAATATAACAAAAACTATATAAGATTCATTTATTAGCTCTTAATTCTAAAAATGTGGCAACAAATAGGTTTTAAATCGACAAGCTAAATGCACTGGCATGTAACAAAGAACTTTATACGTCTATTGGCCTAATGGAAGGAAAGTGCAAATTTACATTAATGGATAAAATTAGACCATGAATCCAAACCTGATGTTTGCTCACTTATTTTCTTTCATATCAAATGTTCTTGAAGTATGAATCAGTCTAACAATTGATGCTAAAATTTCACATGCAAAAATAAGGGTAATATCTTTTTTTTTTATTATCAAAAGGGTAATATCTTTTTGGAGCATTACTTTGATCTTCCTACAGTTGAAACAGGAGATTATTGTCAGTCCCCAAGGCTAAAATAAGTGGATAAATACATATGTGAAAGAAAGAATTAAAAATAAAAAAGATCAAGTAAATGTAAACTGGAATAAATTATAAAACACAGAAACTTCTAAAAAAATCCCTATGAAGGACATGGAAAAGCAGAAAATTCGAAATATGGAATATTCATTAAAAAAAATCCCATGATGATAAATGTCATTAAACTTAACTTTTAACATCATGTAATTGTATGCATGTACAAAAGAGACAGAGAGAGAGAGGGAGAGAGAGAGAGAGAAGAGAGAGAGAGAGAGAGAGAGAGAGAGAGAGAGAGAGAGAGAGAGAGAGAGAGAGAGAGTGTNGAGAGAGAGAGAGAGAGAGAGAGAGAGAGAGAGAGTGTGTGTGTCTTTGGTGGGTGGGAATGGGTGATTATTGACATTAGAAGTGATTTACCAATAGTTAGATCACTGAAATCCAGAATGTGGGTGGGGGTCCAGTTCCTTGGACTTCTTTCAACATTACAAGCATCTGGTGTGCCATTAACTGTTGTTCTTGGATCAGATGTAGTCCCATCGAAAGAACTAGCATGAGTACATGATTCAATAATGACATTGTCATCCATGATATCTGAATGTATCCAAGTAGGGGATGCATTATAGCCATTAAAAGTATTCTTCTCCTGATGCATCATCCAAGATAAACAGGTTAGCAAGTGCTAGTTAATCTTCAAAGAAGATAAACAGAACTCGGGACTACCTCTGATAGGTTGAACAACAATGCAAGATCATTTGGAATGTACTCTTCAACTTTATCTATCAAAGAGCTTGGAATAGGATATCCCCTGAATTTGACGAGTGATAAATATCAGATCATATATGTCAGTTCAATGATAAAAAAAAAGGTTGTCCATTACAACAAAAAGTCAGATGCACACATCCTACCAATTCACGAGAGCTTACAGTCAAATATTATTGAATGTTAACAATAACACTAATTTCCTATGGGTCCTGTTATTTCTGGTTTGTAGCTTTCTGGAAGAACACAATATGGAGGCAAACGATATCTGCCTTCCTATTTTGGACCATGACGCCTGAATTCACTAGATATCGAGTACAAAGTATATTCTTCTTAAACATAACTTGCAAAGTTTAAGCACATAATTCTACTGTTTTAACGATTAACTATTTGGTGAAACATTGGAAATATACATTTTTTGTCAGGGATGGATAAACAGTATATAAAATATTAAAATGTCAGGGTATATCTTCAATCATTCTAAAAAAAAGAAAGACATACATTCATGGAGATATATAAATAAAATACTATTGCACTTTCTGAAATCAGTAAATTCAAAATCTTGCAGAGGTCATAAATGTGGCAGTTTTTGAAGAGGGAAAATCTTCTTCATGTTGCAAACAACCACTCCAAATTCTCTCTATTACAAGGATCACAATTGGAAATTTCCATGATTTAGATATGTTAGATTTCAAGAAACTGCCATGAATTCAAGGTCTTTTTCGAGAACCTATCATTAATTTTCTTTCTACGCATAACTGCTCAAGAACTCATCCTTTTACCAATAACTAAGAATCTAAGGTCCAAGCCTATTAAAGGATTTTGTGATGACAATTTTGACCTTAATCAAAGAGGGGAAAAGTATTGCCATTCTATTTACTATAATAAATAAAGAGAGTCTCCGTCTCATGCTGAAGCAGGTGCGGTCGCGGTTGGACTCGACCCAATTGCCACCCAACTCTTGCGAAAGATGGCTTGGGTCTTCAAAGTCTATGTGGACTGTTAACTGTGGTCGATGTGACTGTTGAGCGGGAAGTTTTTAAACAATAAAGAAGAATACTTCTGCAGCAAAAAAAAAAAAAAAAGAAAAGAAAGCAGAAATACTTGCAGACACGTGCATTTGCTGCGGATATTTTTTTATTTAAAATATTTTGCCGTGTTAAAGATTTGAGATAAAAGCAAAAGCCTGACCTGAGAAAAAGGCATTCAAATTATTTTTAAATAAATGCTTCTATATCTCCTTTGGGACATACCACTGAGATAAGCGTTCTTTCAAATTCTCTTTTCTTCTACTTAGTGCTGCAACAATAAGCTCCCACTCTGGTGGAATACTAAAGCCTTTAGGACTCACTTCTTTGAAAACATTTGCTGTGGGTTTCTCAGAAACATCAGACAGACCATTTGGACATCCTATCAAAGACATATCATTAATCTTATACTTGATGCCATATCTGAGAGGAGGCACGGGTAAGAGGTGAAGATTTCGCAGTTGCTCTCCCAAAAATGAAGCTAAATGCAAAACATCATCTCTTGGCAATGTGTCTCTTCTGAAAAAACAAAGAAAAATAAAAAAGAAAAAGAAAATGATCGGGTTAGCTCTAAGAAGCTAGGCAATCATGGTTAAAAAATGCAGTCAGTCTGACATTTAAATCAGGAGGACACCTAACTAGTCAACTTACATATGAGCAAAAATATCCCCTCTGCATCTTCTGATTATTATATATGGAAATATCTTAGAAGGTGAGATGGATCCTGGACTTTTAAGTTCTAATTTCTTCTTACTCCAGACACCGAGAGAAAATTCGTCCCTGCCACACTCTCCTTCTACAAGTTTATAGTCAGCAAGTACATCTGGTACTCCTCTTCCATCCCATGAAAGAGGTTTATAAGCACCATTCTCATCAATAACTAATCCGCTTGCTACAACTTCTGGAACATGATTTATCAGAGGGGATCTTGTTTTCTGAAGTAGATTATAGAACTCAAGCTGCAGGTAGAAAAAGAAAACTTAAGGAAAAGGAAGTGTTATTAGGGAAAACAAGGCTAAATGGCAGGTAAATCCACCTCCGTGCCAAGGCCATGGACAGATGATTCCAAACCTCCTTCAATGCATATTTTTACTACATGGTCGGAAACCAAGAAAACCTGCAGAAAGAAAACAAACAAAGCTTATATTTTTACAGTTCAGCTCAATGTCCTAGATGAGCTACATGAAGCATTTGAAAATTTAATCCCTAATAAAAAAAATTCAAAGGTTCCAATTAGAATTTCATGTGTTCCCGTGAACTTACTATAGTTTCACTTCAAATTTGAAACTGTAAATCATCTAACGGGCAAAGTAGGAGGCATTTTACGTGATCTGATCCATACCATAATGACCTTATGCGGATTATTGAGATGGCCCACTCGAAAGTCGGTACAGGTATTGGAAAGTAAATTGGGACCAAGATGAATCCATGTCAGATATGGGAATAGATTCTATTGAAGTTGAAGTCAGCTGGAACTCACCAGAGTTAACTCAATTAAACACGCCTCAAATTGTTTTTCGCTCGCAACTGTGAAGTTCATTTATTGAGATGATCTGTGAACATTTTTGTGGATTATTTGCTCAATGTAAACAATTTATATCTATTATCTAAGCAGTTTCTATATGTAGCCTGTAAAGGATGGTTGCTTTCTCTCTAGGTGAACCATAATGTTTAATTAAGTAAAGAATTTCCGTAAACATAATACTAAGTTCTAACTATTAAAATTTTTTGTTCAAGCATTTGTGCAAGCATGTGCATATGTGAATTTGTAGACAAATACTCTTGGCTAAAGTCAAGTATTCTGCTTAATGAGTTGATTGCGGATACACCACTTGTACTCTGATTTAATGGTGTAACCATTTATTATACCCTTACACTTTTTTTATTACCACTTACACTCCCGGATCTCACTAGATCTTAAAATTTCCCTCAATTTAGAGGTTAGTACTGGTTAAACAAAAGTTAAAAGGTAACTTATCATAAAGTGATTCCCATGTGACATCTCAACCTAATTTGTGAAATAATGTCGTCTGGAATTCAATGGGTGTAAGTGCTAATATAACAATTTAGGGGTTACATAATTGGATACACTCTCATAATTCCCATGTTAAATTGGTTCAGCAATGGACAGAAGAGGTGTATCTGCAACTGGCTCTTGCTTAAACTGGACTGATGGTGCTTAAATGGTATTTATGCGTGGTTAAATTAGCCCATCTAACAAAACCAACTCGGAAAACCTGAAAATTCAAGGCAATGGGAACAGGTTCCTGCATTCTAAAAGTAAAGTTATGTTAACTTGGTTCAGCTATGGACGGCATGTTGTCACATCCAGGTCGGGTCCCAAAATACCATAAAACCTGACCGATCTGTCTGAGTCGCACCCTTGTTTACAGGGATTCATGGCATGGAACTCTCATATCCAAGTGCTCTCTTTAAGTGCTTGATACAATATAAACGATTATTGACAAAAAGAATGAAGAAGCTGCTTACCGGATTGCTGCCTGTGCCAACAGGAAACTTCTCCTCATCAAGGGGAGATGGTAAATTGTGGTAAGCACATATTTCCATAGCACAATTTGACCATTTGTCGACATTTAAAGCCAGGCAAGCACCCTATATAAAGAGCATGTCAGATAATGAGCATAGATAATAACAAGATGTAAGGATTTAATCGGATCATAATGATTTATCAAGATAAAAAGTCCCAGAAGGCCATATAATACCTCGGTATTATACAATTGAAGCCAGGCATGTGTTGTGTTTCAGTATCATAAACACCAAAGAAAAAAAAGCAGTACAACACTTACCTGCCAGATTAACTGTCTCATTGCTGGTTTCAAAACCCAAAGCCTGTGCAACCACTGTCTCATTTCTCTGGGTCCTATAATGTTGCTAGGGCTCCAAACAGAAGTATAATGGTCTCTATCTTTCTCCAAGAACTTAGCTAAAAAATCTATACTGTACAAAAAATCTTTATTCTGCAGTTTGTTGTAAATCTCTGATGACCCTTTGATACCATTACTATTGTTATCATGTTTGTGCCCATCTTTACCACCCTCTGAAATTTTGAGCCTTTTGCCTTTACGGGTCATGTCAAGGTGATTCATTACACCGGCGTCAATAGGTGCACCATTCTTGGTATCTGGATAAGCATTGTCCTTGAGAGCCAACAATCCAGCACGACAAACTCCTTTGTGACAGTGGCCTGGGCTCATATCCAAGCATACATATTCAAAATTCGATGCATTAGCAAAGTTCTGAGTGACAGCAATGGTTGTTTCTAGATTTAGCACGCAATGCCACCAGCCACTCGGAACAAATATTGTCTCTCCAGGCAGTTGGGTACACTCTATTGGTTTATCATGGTCAGCAAGCTTTGGATAAATTTCGAGCCACCACTGCAAAAATAAGAAATATATCAAATCAAAATTAAGACCAAGCCTATTAATACATCTACCTTGAAAAAGGGTAAAGAAGCAAAATAACCTGCAAAGATGATGGACCATCAATGTTAACGTCACCATCATCTTCATTAACATGCACTGTAACACCTATAGGTACTCTGCCGGGAGGGTATAATGCCCATCTTGTAAGGAATAAAGTAAAACATCAGTTTTTCATCCTTTTCTTTATCAAAGGAAGTAAACAATTGAAAATAGAGAACTAGATTAAAAAAAAAGCAGAGCAATCTCTCACACCTAAACTCCATTGATGCCTAGTTGACTAGACGTGACAACTTTACGCTAAGCTCATAAATACAATAAACAAAATGAAGCAGACCCAAGTCATAGGAAGAGCCTAAGTTAAGAACCGACAAACAAAGATTCTGATATCAAATTAAGAGTAAGGCATTAAAAGCCTGGACAAATCAACTTGCATCTCAATATACAATTAATTATCCAAACCTAGATATGTAGATTTCAGTATATGTTGGATAGCATGTTCCTAATATGTTTCCTAATTTTGTTTTGGTAACAGGTTATTGGGATTTCTAATCTGTTTTGGTAACAGGATTCTAAATCTGTTTTTGGTAACAGGTTATTAGGATTCCTAATCTGTTTTGTTTTTGGTTTTAGAATTCCTAGTATGTTTTTGTTTTGGTAACAGGTTATTAGGATTCCTAATCTGTTTTGTTTTTGGTTTTAGAATTCCTAGTATGTTTTTGGTTTTAGGATTTATCTGTTTTGTTTTTGGTTTTAGAATTCCTAGTATGTTTTTGGTTTTAGGATTTCTATATATATGGAACAATTTAGAAAAGAGGAAAAAAAAGACTTGAAAAGGGGTTTGTTTTGTGCACAGAAAAGAGAGTTTTCTGAGCAATTTGGTTAAGGTTTTGTTTGAGAGTTTTGAGAGGTTTGTTTGAGAGATTTTGAGTGAATTTGTAGTCTCTATTTGTACTCTCCTTCTCTATTAGTGAAAACACATCCACTTCTTGCCCCGTGGATGTAGGCAACTTGCTGAACAATGTAAAATTCGTTTGTTTGTGTTCGTGCTGTTATTTTGATTGTGTTTGGCCTTCTCTCTCGGCGTTTGGTTTGGTTCCTCGAAGCACAATAGTATATACCTATACAACTTGCAAGTCTGGAATAACAACATTTTCACAAAGCAAAAATGTTTTACTTTATTGTACCATCCAATTATAGCTCTCTAGCACCTCTTGATACTTGCTGATCTTGCTGTCACCTAAAGGGACCACTTGAAGGACGTTGCCAGACAAAATTATGACAAGTACCTACTTGAAGGTAAAATAGAGGCTAGACCTCATTCTTCCAAATGAATTTATCAGTTTTATTTCCTAAATTCTCGACCAATGCAAATGCAGCTTCCTTACCCAAATCAAATCTGGGCTGGATCTCTCCCTCACCGCTCACTTGATTTCTTACAGAACCTAGTTAGTAATCAATGCGTTTTGGAGTTCCTTATTCCTATCCTATCTCAGGTAGGAAAAATCAATCTTTCGTGCTCCTTTAACTAGAAATATGAACGTATTATGAACTTCTCCTATACTGAACATATATGTTGATGACACAGATTAACAAATAAATTACATCTTGTGCCTGTTAATTAATATATGTTAAAATTGTCTCTTAGGTGTCTTGGTCCTGATATCTGAATTTCTTTTCTAGATGATTAGTCGGGTAATGTGGCATAGAGCACACAAGTCTTCATGAGTTATTCGGATTCTCATGTTTAGCAATAGTTCTTGAAAAGATCACAATCCAACCCAAACCTTACATATTGGACCACATTCTAGTCATCCTCACATGGCAACATGGTTCCCTTAATCAACAGAAGGGTCCTTAGAGAGCTCCACACGGTTTAATCAGTCTCCCTATATCACACATATGTGGGGGTTATCAATAATGCGTACTGCATGATATTGGTCCACACTTCACACATTTTCAACTTTTGGGTAAAGTAATCCAATAAACTAAATATATATGGATAATATCATAATTAAACACTGTTTTTCCTTAAAACAAAGATTTGGAATGCTTGTGTATGGGCAAGCATTCTTGGACATAGTGTCTTAGAGTCCACACTCGAGACATTGTTCAAACATAAGAGAGATGTTGTCCACCAGAACCACTTATGCTAGCTAGTGCAATATTATGATGGAAGGTGGAAGTCAAGAATAAAACAAAGATTCGAGGAACGAAAAGAGAACCAGAGAAAACACAGGGAACTCAGCCATCAATCCAATTAACTTTCAATAGTCAAAACAATATTTCATAAATCAAATCTGGAAAATGGGTGTAAAGTTGACATACATACACAAGTCATAATTCAAACTAAAATCTGATTCCTAATGACATTCAAGTTGTAAGAAAAGCTAAAGAAATAAAGATTAAACTGTAACAAATTTAACTCCTAATAAAGGCAGTTAGTTTCTGCATTATGGTGTTTTTTGAGATTTCAATAGATCTTCTTTTGGGATTAGTTGCCATATCACCAATTATATAGAACAAAGTCTACGAATGTCTCAATGTTTTTCTTCTCTTCCTTTTGGGGGAAAAAGAAAAATGAAGGAAAAGATATAACTTACTACAAACAAAACTTTGGATAACAGGCATCGCATAATTAACTGATATAATATGTGCAAACAGACAAAGAACTATGCTATTACTTAAGCAAACTTACCTTTTGCGTCCGAGCAGAAGAGTGTTCCATGCACTCGTCAGGGCTGGATCAACATGCCAAGAAGCACCAGACCTCTCGGGCCCAATTATTAACCATCTGAAAGGAGGTCGTTGATCAGGATCTAAAACATCAAAAAAGTCTTCTTGGAACAAATGAGGCACGCTATAATCTTCCAATAAAGTTGGCGCAGCTTCTCCAAACTGTTAAAATAACCAATTTGATATTTCAACTGCCTTCAACAGGCTTTATTATGCAATTATAACTCACAAAGCACAGAAGAACCTTGTCATCAAAAATGTAAAGAGGGTCCTCATCATGCTGAAGTTCCATGTAAGAGAAATAATCTTTCAATTTCATGGTAATTTTCTTGGAGCTCCTCTGAGATAACCTGAATGCAACTTCTCCATGGTTCAATAACAGTTGGTCTTTTGTCCACTTATTTCTTGCTGGCCACGCTTCAGCTAATTCAGTAAGCAAGACCTGGAAAATAAATAAAAATTGCAACTCTTAAACTGGGTACACATTAACCAGTGGATCAATATGCAGAATATGGAATTATTGTGTGGAATATCCAAAATGCCATGCAAGGTGTGAGAAAGAATATGGTTCCAAGTATGAGGATGATCAGAATCAATGAAATGCCAAATGTGTTTATATTCAAGAGGAGGGAGGTGGGAGCATTTAAGATAAAATCCTAGCAATTGTGTTGTATGTCCTTCTAAATATTTGATCAAGATATTAGGGAACTGACGATTTCCCATGGAAAGCTGCTTTGAGATACTGAATCTACGTATGCAGATTTGATGAATTTTGTGCAGAATTGTGTTCGATGTCATTATCATGATGAATACAGTGTATTTTTCAAGTAGCAATTATGTTTGAAATTTGCAATCATTTGTTGATATACTTATGGAAGAATAATAAAATTTGACCTATACTAAAAAATTTAAAAATCAACAACAATATTGTAATTCACAATTTGCATGTTCAAACATCTGCAATCTGATCCGCTAAATTATGGGCCCTTGATGTTACACGTCTCATAAAGGACAGTGGCCCCATTTTAAGTAACTTCTCCACTCTATTAAAGATCAAAATAACGAATAAGTGCATTACCGGGCTCTTCCCATCATATTGGGAACGAAACTCCTCCACCGTAAGCTCTTTCTTTCTCTCGAGAGCTCCACTATCGAAAGAGAACCCATCCAATGTCGTGAAACGCCTATACCATCTCAAATAAAGAAACAAGGAGTTGAATCCTGCAAAAAGAGCAAACAACAAATGCATATCATGATGATATTTTGTTACTGAATCACCCATGAATGTTCATGAGATTGTTTCTTACCGGCAAACTGCAGAGGCTTCTCACGGGAAATTTCAAGTGCAGTGAACAGATTTTGCCTGGAATACTACCAACCCTTATCATACAAGATTAAACAGCACCTTAAAAAAATCAGCAGTGTAACATACTGATGAAGTGTAGTCTTCTTCCAAGAGCCCTTATACTGAAGTTGACCTCCATCTCTGAGGCACAAGCTCATCCACAGCGGCTCTTCATTGCAGAGTGTGTACATTACACTAGAAACATTTAACAAATGTCACACTCTTGACTTCTTTGAAAAAAATGGATATCTAGGTACATCTTATGCATGCTAAAGAGATCCCTTTTTATCTTCAAAATTTGAATTGTACAATTTTTTATGTAGTAACTATGATGCAAATTCAAATGTTAAAATGTTTTAACATGAAGTAATCAATTCAGTTATCTTCACCAAATAAGTAATAAAACTCAGGTCACATTCTGTAAATCAAAACATTTAAACAACTTCATTGACAATCAAAGGCGAAACTGTAGTCTGTACTGTGTTCAATACTGCTGAATGACAAGTTCTTAGAATAAAGATTTCAGTATTTTTTTTACACAGGGCCCCGTTATTAAGTCAATAAATTCATCTTTGTAACCAAGAGTTCATTATTTCTATGATTTCCTCTTATGCAAAAATGTCGATTAGTTGAGTTCAAACTGGAACCTATCCAGCCTATTCAAATAAAATTCGCAATTTCTTTAGAAGTTGTCTGAGTAATTACCAAAATTAATGCAAGCTTTGTCCTTTCTTCTCTAGCTTGATTCATATCTCAGCTAATGAAGCATGAGTATCTTCATACCATGTCCAGCCACGGTTTTCTCTAATTGGGCTTGTGAGATTTAAATTGGTTTATATTGCAATATGCTTACTTAATACATAATCTTTGAGAAGACGTCCAAACCATAGCCCTCGCTGTCAATTTCTTGAATTCCAATCCCACCCGTACTCAATGAAAGATGACCTCACCTATTGATGACACTGTTACTTGCACCGACCATCAACGGCAAAGCAATTAACTTAACTTGAATTTGTTTAGGTCTTTAAGACTTAATAACCGATTTACTTTCTTCTATTCAAAGTTATATATAAGCTAAAATGTGACTTTTATTATGTTTTTATGCCATATATAAGCACACACATATGCACGCACGATTTGATAGTATAATCAATGTTATATGCTTTGCAATACTTTCTAATTTTTGAAGCTTCATTTCTCTTCTCCAATATACGAATTCCAAAAGTATCGCTTATGTGCTTTTATACAAATTTTATAATTTTCAAAATTCTTTCATTTAAACTACAAAAATCTACTAATTCAAAAATTTCATAGCGTCTAATTACAGCCACAGACGCAGCTCAATGACAATCAATTGGGAGGTCTTTTCGTTAAACTACCCAAACAGTAGAAACTGCGCATTGAAGGAAAAGGAATTGAAAGGGGGTAGAGTGAAAAAAGACCTGCCTGCTAACACAGGAGAGGCGAGCGAGGTCGCGAGCCGAGAGGAATTCGAGGATGCCACAGAGGATTTCGTCCGGAATGATTCGGAGATCCCCGAGCGCGTCGTGACGGCGATCGATCATCATCTGATGCTCCATTGATGGCGGTGACCACACCGCTTCCTGATCTCAATCTCTCTCCCTCTCTCCTCTCCGTCTCTCAAAATTTTGATGCCTTGTTTGATATTTAGCTAGAGCAGAAGACAGAAAGAGAGAGAAGGAAGAAAGTGGGATGAGAATCAAGATCGCGTTTTTTCGACGCGCGGACCGTTTCGTCAAGAAATTCTTAGTGGTAAGCTTACCGCCCAGCTTTTCTAAGTCGGCCCGGGTTTGGATTTGAAAATTAACGGGTACCCGTTAACAGCGCAATAAAACAAAAGCAAAACATTTCCTTCAATTGGAAACCTAGGTTAGGGCTCGTTTGGTACGCGGGAATGAGTGGGAATGAAATACAATTCTAACTTTTTTTTCATACGTACCAAACACGATGTATTTTTTGATGCTAGAATTAAAATTCCCACTTTTTATCAATTCCCACTTTATGTGGGAATTGTCATTCCCAATCATTTAACAAGGAATTGATATTCTCATTTAAGTGTGAATAAAAATAATCAAATAATTTTCAATTATACCCTCCATAAAAGATACAAATAGATATAAATTTTCATATGAATTTTTTTTTATTAAAAATTATCTTATCTTAAGCTACTAATACAAATATACAAATAAATATAAGCATGAATATAACTTGCCATAGTTCCAATATACAAACATTGTTCCTAAGTTAATTTATATATCACTGACCTTGCCTAGTTCCAATACCTTGTGATATTATTTTTTAATAAATCTCTGATATGTGCCTTAGTTCCAATACCTTTTAATAAATTTATGTTGATTATCTTTTAACACCTTTATATCACCGACACCGACCTTGCCGTAGTTAGCATATATATAAGGGAGTTCATATAATTTTAATAAATCTCGTCGGAACAAATATTCTCATCTACGCCTCCACAAAGAAAATTCTCGTCGTCTCCATGCCGCTCTCCACGCCGCTCGATAAGTTAATAATTGTTTCTTTTTGAAATTTATATGTGTGACAAATTTTTATCTAATGTTTACAAGAATTTTTTATCTTGTGATGACTCAGTTAGGTGTTTGGTGTTAGATTACTTGGAAAAGTAAGAGCTAATACAATTTACAAAGAATATAATTATAGTTATATATAGAATGAAAAATAATATTTCTAGAATAACATGATGTTGTGATTCAAAAATTAGTCTCTCTACTGTCAAAATAGAAATTGAAAGTAAGGATCCAATTTCAATTCAATACCATTTTCATGATTTTGTCTTGATTCAGTCACTCTGAGTTATTAGATGGAGACTCTTAATCATATTATGCATTTTATATCAAAATGGTCACACGTAATCACATAGTAGCACAAAGGATCTTTTAGGTTAGCTTTCATCACTCCTTGCATATTTTTCACATAAAAACAAGCTTATTTGAAATAAAATCAGCATATGATAATAGTTTTAAAGTTAATGATAAAATCAGGTATTAGTGCATCACAATCTTCATATTTTTTATTCAAACACATTGCATGTATCAGTTATTTGTTCCAATGGGATGTCTATTACCAACATATCATGATACTAATGCAACTAAACAACAGAGTATAGTATTTTTTAGTCATAGAGAACATAGATAAATGTACATGTCAAAAAAATGTATACTCAATAAGAATCAATTCCTCTCATAATCTATACAAAACAAATATCAATTCTATTAAGGCAAAAAAAAACCCCAAAATAAAAAATCAAGCAATATGAAGTGCTTCTTCCAAATACCCCTTAAACCTGTTAACATCAAGGCTCACAATTTGTTGATCCAAATATATCTTCCTTATAACCATCCACCCTTGTCTCTGAATAGAACCGATATCTCTGAACACTGCATGATCTCTAGAATACATTTCTATATGTGTACTCTCCTCTTCAGTTATATTGTATTGTAAATAATTAAGCTTCATATCTAATGTTGGTGTTCCAAAATCAAGCTTAGCAAATATCTGAAAAATCTCCTAGACGATTATCTTTTTAATATTTACTATGTGCAACTTTTTCCTTATAACTTGCTTTTATGTAGTGCTTTCTTCCCCACTTTACGAAGCAAATATCTAAAAATCTCCTATTGTTAAAATACTTACGTTCTAAATAAATATGCATATTTACCCTTATGTAGTAGTTGTATATCATATTATGGATTTCGATGATGAAAGAAGAAAGATGAAGAAGCTGGTGGCTGTCCAAGCACATATGAGAAATGTACAGAGTATAGTGGCTTGGTGGTTTCTTTTCTCATCACATCTAATGAAAATCTACGAAGAAAAGAAATCACCAAGAGAGCGATATTTGGTGGATTTCTATTCCAAAAGAAAAAATGTGTATCGTCTTGCATATGCAAGTGATGTAACTTGTTTAGATCAACTTAGAATGTATAGGAGCTCTTTTAGAAAGTTGTGCACTATGCTAGAAAATGTAGGGCTGAAAGATACAAAAAATATGTTGGTAGACGAACAAGTTGCAATGTTTCTACATACTCTCGCCCACCATGTGAAGAATAGGGTCATAAAACAAATGTTACAACGTTCAGGGGAAATTTTTAGTAGGCATTTTACTAATGTGCTGCATGTCATAATACGTTTGCATGATGTTTTAATCCAAAACCCAATCCAGTGCTGATAGACTCAACAGACACAAGGTGGAAATAGTTCAAGGTATCTTATAAATTATTTTTTATTTGTATTTCTTAGTTTTTATAAATAATCTAACATAATAATTTTCATTTATATTTAGAATTGTCTTGAAGCTTTAGATGGGACTTATATAAGAGTGAGAGTAGCTTTGGAGAACAAATCTAGGTATAGGACACGAAAAGGTGAAATTGCAACAAATGTCTTGGGTGTATGTTCTCAAAACATGCAATTTATATACATACTACCTGGGTGGGAAGGGTCAGCAGCTAATAGTAGAGTACTTCGAGAAGCAATAACCAGAAGAAATGGATTAAAAGTCCCCCATGGTAAGTTATAATTTGTATAATATTTGCTTTTAGCAACTCAAGTTTTTTAATATTTAGATAATTAATATGTCCAACCATAGGTTACTATTATCTTGTTGATGCGGGATACACAAATTGTGATGGTTTCCTTGCACCATATAGAGGCCAACATTATCACCTGAATGAATGGAGAGATGGACACCAACCGACAACTGCACATGAGTTTTTCAATATGAAACAAGCATCTGCTAGAAATGTTATAGAGCGATGTTTTGGGTTGCTTAAATTAAAATGGGCGATCCTACGTAGTCCTTCATTTTACTCTATCAAGATACAAAATCGAATAATCATGGCATGTAGTCTCCTTCATAATTATATAAGGAGGGAGATGGAGGTTGATCCATGTGAAGAGTGTCTTGATGTTTTGGAGGAAACAATTCAAATTGTCAATGCTAATGATCCAATCATGACAACTGAAACTACTTCAGATTAGACTTCGTGGCGAGATAGCCTTGCAGATTCTATGTATAATCAGTGGATAGGGCAACAATAATCATTTGGCTTTTATGTTTGTCATATGTGTTTTCTTTTTTCTTTTTCATATACAAAGTTTAATCATGGAAACAATAATTTTTTTCTTTGTGAAATAATTGAGTTATTAGCAATTGACTCATGCTCATGTTGAAAAGCTTACTACTCTTGGATGATGGTAATTGATATTTACATGGATTTATTTATTATTATATGTAATACAATTTCTAATATCGAGAGGTTAATGCTTCAGGAAAAAATTACATATATTGCAAGAAAAGTAGAAATGCGATAACTGATAAATAAGTAATATAATTGTTTAGGAATGGATCAAGAAGACCAACAAGGTCGTAGAAGGAATAAGCACACATGAACTACTATAGAAGATCAGAAATTGGTTGATGCATTGTTGAATTTACATAACACTGGAAAGTACAATGCTGACCGTGGATTCAAGCCTGGACACTACAATGCTGTTAAAGATTACTTTCTGAGTCACTACCAAATTCAGGGTTAAAGACTGATCCTCACATTAGATCAAGGATGAAGACACTTAAGACACAATTTAGCATTGTGTTTGATATGCTTAATTGTAGTGGCTTTGGATGGGATGCAACTAAGCAATGTATGATTGCTGAAAAAGAAGTTTGGGATGAATATTTACATGTATTTTATTATTAAATTTTAATTTATCACATGATCATTTTTACATTTGACATATTTTTTTTAATTAATGATTGTCTAATTTTTTAATCTTTTAATGTAGGCCCACAAAAATGCAATACCTTTCAAAGAGAAATCTTTTCCACACTATGAAACTCTGGCTATTGTGTTCGGGAAGGATAGGGCAATATGAAACAGAGTGGAACATCCTACTGATGTTATAGAGGAATTGTATAAAGAGGTTAGTCAAGAGACTGTCGGAGAAGATTTTATTGATATTGACTCACCTTCACAGGATGCAACAACAGAGAACACGAGTGATGTCTCCTTGAAGTGAAAAAGAAAGAGACGTTTGTCTGGAGATAGCGATTCATTAGGAGATATCATGAGGGAAACTAGTGCATATATTGGAAGTGAGCTTGTTAAATCAAGCCAATTGATCAAGGATGGTTTAGATGAAGTGAGTTTGTATGAGAAGAGGCAAAGGTTTACTGAACAAGTAATGAAAATGAATTTAACTATGGATCAGTGCTTTACAGCAATAGGGACGATTGGTGCTAACCGAAATTTGCTAGATTTGTTCTTCACAATTGGTGATAATCTAAAGGAGACATGGATAAGGTGATACAATGGGGAGTATTAGGTAGCACTTTAGAGTTATAGACTAGTTTATCATTTTGTAATTTCAAAACTTGATATTTTGATACTTTGATGGTTGCCCAATTATTTTGCTCGAACTATTTTATGGATATTTTGATTAGAATTTGGATATTTCTGATAATTTTTCGAATGTGATAGTTTTTGCATATAAAGTTTTAAACTATAGATACTACCGTTATATCAATTTTGGACATATGGATGATAAATTGCACTTTTTTTTATTTTTTTCCTTTATTTTTCCCTTGAACATAAAATCTCAAAATTTCTTTTAGCAGGAGATTATAGGCTGTCTAAAAATTACTGCAGATAGCTGATCCTCATCAAATACCGATGATGAAAGTTACAATTTGACGGCTTTCAGAAGACTACAATTTGAAGACTTTTACGTAGATCGATGAAGGTTATAATCTGACGACCTTCACAACAACCAATGAAAGTTTTAATTCAACAGCCTTCACAATTAACATCGGGAGTTATAATCTGATGACTCTCATATTTTCAAGGAGTCAAGACGAAGGTTACAAGATGATGATCTTTGTAACGCTCTAGCAAAAGAGATTACAAATTGACGGTCTTTTCAAATCAAAACGCAAATATCTCTCAAATCGTAAGGAATTTGGCAAAATGGAGGAAGCAAACCGAACCCTTTGGGGTGGTTTGGTCGGCTTTATCTCGTCAAGATAGTCGATTTTTATATATAATTCGTCCAATTCTAACTTACGGTTTGAAAGTTATGACCTGTTCTTCGTAGCAAGTTATGTTCTGAAGTCTGTCTGCAAGACTGGACTTCGTCTGAACATGGGACCCAGCCTGAAGCTCGCCAAGCTCGCCTCTATGTTCTAGAGTCAAAATGCAGGGCTCATGCCTGTGTTCCAGATTCAAAACGCAGAGGTCATGCCCGCGTTCCAGAGTCAAAATGCAGAGGTCATCCCCAGCATTCCAGTTGAAAACGTAGAATTCCTGGACTCAAAACACAGAGTTCATCTCTGCATCCCAACTCTGCGTTTCAGATTTACAACGCTGAGCGAACACGATGTTTTCAGTCTAAAACAGGCCCAACTCTGCGTTTCAAGTCTAAAACGCAGAGTTCAGGTCCAGAACGCTATTTTCAGCATTTGACTCATTCAAAGCACGAGCTGAATGGTTCTAGAAACCGTTTTCTCCCCACGATTTGAGGGATTTCTGCCCCACTTAGAAGCAGATTAAAGGGGTAGTTATACCCCCATTCAACCTCATTATGGAGAGAATTAAGGGGGTGGTTACACCCCTTAATCCTCTATAAATAACTGAGGAATCAGCTTAGTTCGGGTCCTTCGGCTTGGCAGCAAAGAAGAGATCTTTGGGTAGCTTTTTGTGATCTTTGGATCTTTGAGTATTTTCGGATCTAGAGATCAGCAAAGGGAGCACCAATTCATCCTTTTTCGATAGCAAAAAGATTGAAAGATTGACATTCATCTTGCAGAGCAGTCCTAGGAGCTTTGATCCTTGGCTTATTAACCGATTTTCGGTTCAAATCAACTCTTTTTCAAGAGTTTAAACTCGCTCTGAGTTATCAACTCGTTAAGAGTTTCAAACTTGCCACGTAAGTTCTTCTCAACGTCAATCAAGAGGAATCAACCATGTTCTAGTGAAACAAGACGTTCGGATCGTCAACGAGAAGCAAACTCGATACGAATGTCGAGGTAGGCATCTCATCGCCACCGTGAAGAACCCAGGATTAAACCAAGGGGAAGATCTCCACCGATCTTCTTCTCTTTTGTAATCAGAAATTAAAATTGTAATCAGTTACACTCCTTAATCCCTTATAAATCACAAAAAACTCAACTGAGTTAGGGGCTGGCTTTTTGCGATCTTTGGATCTTTGAGTATTTTCGGATCTAGAGATCAGCAAAGGGAGCACCAATTCATCCTTTTTCGATAGCAAAAAGATTGAAAGATTGACATTCATCTTGCAGAGCAGTCCTAGGAGCTTTGATCCTTGGCTTATTAACCGATTTTCGGTTCAAATCAACTCTTTTTCAAGAGTTTAAACTCGCTCTGAGTTATCAACTCGTTAAGAGTTTCAAACTTGCCACGTAAGTTCTTCTCAACGTCAATCAAGAGGAATCAACCATGTTCTAGTGAAACAAGACGTTCGGATCGTCAACGAGAAGCAAACTCGATACGAATGTCGAGGTAGGCATCTCATCGCCACCGTGAAGAACCCAGGATTAAACCAAGGGGAAGATCTCCACCGATCTTCTTCTCTTTTGTAATCAGAAATTAAAATTGTAATCAGTTAGAGATTGAGAGAGTTGTAAACATTCTTTTTCTAAGCAGTTAGAAAGAATAAATCAAATTCAATTCTTTTATTTTCTTATAACAAATTTTTCAACAAACAAAGATGTTGTGAAGAGTGCCCAATTATTCATGATTTAGTAGACACATTTTTCATAAAATTTTGATGTTTTAACTATTTTATCACGTTCTTTTGTTTTTGCAATATTGTTGGCATCTAGATAAAAATAACTTTTTGACTATATGCAATATCTCTTATGAGGCATTCTTGTCTTCACTATCGCACAATGATGTTAGTAATATTAGTTACTCGTACAAATAATAGACATGTACCACTAAAAGTTAGAAAAGTGAAATTATAATTATTTATAATTAAAAATAAATTCTATGAAAATTATTTTCAATTTGTAAGCCAAAAATCCGAAATTATTGCCGAGACGGTGTGCCAAAATATAACTATTACATGAAAATTTATTTCTCTAAGGAAAAAATATCATTTCTATAAAACTTATTTTTCTAAAAAAAATAAATTATTTAGTCATTTTTAGAATATTTTTAATGTTTTTAAAATTCTATGTTTTGATAAGAGCATTATTAGAAAACTAAATTTTATTCTCACCTGTGAACAAAGAATACCAAACTTGAGAATGAGAATAAAATTATCATTCCGGTTTCATTTTCTAAACGCGTCCAAACATGAGGACCAGAATTTGCATTCCATTCCCATGTCTATTTTATTCCAACTCTATTCCCGCGTACCAAACCAGACCTAGGTGCTGAGTAGCAGTATCTCCTCCTCCACGCACACACTCTCTCTCTCTCTCTCAAAAAGAGGAAGGAGATGAAGGCGGTGACTGGTACTGTGACCTCGTCGAAACCGATCTCTCTATCTAAAGCTTCTACGGCCCTCTCCCGCTTCGCCGCCGGCGACAACGGAGCTCGCCGCGAGATCTCCGCCTACTTGAAGCGTGTGTCCAATGCTTTCCCTGATCCCGTTCAGGTGCACCGAGAGCTGAGGTTCATAAGGAAGGGGGCAGGCGTCGAGATCCAGCGAGAGGTCGAAGATGAGGACGAATCGAGTAGGAGCAGGAAGAAGGAGGAACAGAAGGATCCAAAGTCTAGGGTAAGTTTGCAAGCTAATGCTAAGGTCAAAGTAGAAGTTGTTGACGAGGAGGTTGAGGATGAGGCGGAGGAGAGGAGAAAGAAGAAGAATAAAGAAAAGAGGAGGGAAAAAGAAGTGGTGGATAATGGAGAGGGGAAGAAGAGAAAGCATTTGAGTGTTGAAGAAGCAAAGGGGTCAATGGAGGATGGAAGCGAGAGGCGAGAAAAGTAGAAAAAGAGGAGGAAAACTGCTAATGAGGAGTAGGAACTTAGTGATAGAAGTTTTGTGCTCACTGGTTATTGATTTGTGGAGAAGTTTCGGAAATTTTTCTTCTCAATTTTGACTCATGGGGAAGGAGTTTGTGATTTAATTCAACATGTATTTTAGCAGTAGATAGATAGTTGCATGTCTATCTAAATGTGACATGTTTTGTTTTGAAATATATTTTAAATTATCAAAAAGATTATCTTTTTAGCTCATTTGATTCATATACCTGCAGAAGTCTAGTCAAGGTTTTTATATCACAACATTGCATTTTTATTATTTTAATATCACAGTATTGCATTACTTTCCTGGTTAATGGATAATTGGACTGCTGGAGAACAGAGCATTGCAGTGGCTACCCTCAAGGTGAGAATATCTTTGATCATGAATGTAATGGTTTTACTTCTGATGCCCATAGTTAACCTTTTAAAAGAACCATATCTGTTTCTCTCTGTTTATCTACTAAGCAAGACTCCAATAAAAGATAGTTCACAATACATTCTGTTTTCTCTATACTAGATCTTGAATGACATGCGGTCTCATTTAGATCTAAGAAGTCCTGGGTATAAAGAAAACATGTCATTCAAGTGCCTGTCTTTCAAGCCCATCCATCTCCTGAGCGTATAGAAAACAACACGAGCAAACTCTAAATTTGTTCAACTGTCACGGATGGATGCTCGTGCTGTGGCCAAGTGTGTTAGAGAGTCGGATTGTTTTTTTGGAGGAAGTGTCCTTCATGTAACTATGATATTTGATGATGTTCCTATTATAAACACGAGAACAGGGCTATGTACTTGTTCTTGTGAATATGTTAGCATGTGTCTCCATACGACCTGCACACATGTATATGTGTATGTAGGATATGTTTGTGAATATACACACACATACCACATGCATGTGCATGTATCTGTGTACTGTGAGAGTGGGCATGCATGGTGTGTATTTGCTGCAAGGTATGTGTTCGTGCATAGAATATTGATGAATTTCTCACATCATGCGTGATTATCATTTTAAGGTTGTCTCTCTATTTTTTAGCTGTGATTTAGTTATCTACATTTATATTATAAAATATCCTCATTGTTTTAGGTTTGTTTTTATTTGTCTAAGCAGGGCGTTGGTCCTACTTTAAGGAGTTGTGAAGATGCTGGAGACTCACTGTGACAGAAAGAACTAGTATCCGGTGAAATTTGGTATTTTTTTATCTAATTGTGAGATCTGTTGGCCTTTTTTGGGCTTATTCAGCTTATTATTGTGCGCAGAAATTTGTCAATTTCATACATTTCATCCATATTTCACGCGCCGTCATGTTGGCACCACAAGGTTACTCCTGTCGCCTGAATGATTATTGCTATATAGTAGGTTGATATTTCTCTTCCTTTCATTAATTGAATGATGGTTTCGCTGAAATTTGTTACTTCAGTATATAACATCATTAATGGCCACAAGTGTTGGGAGATTACTCAGATTCCCCTATCACCAGAAAGCGAATAAATGCGCAAAAAAAAAAGAGACGCAAGATTTACATGGTTCGGCACAAAATTACCTACATCCACGGGCTGCTGCAGATCTTATACTGAAAGGGGGAAATTACAAGCACTCTGAATATTACTCTGATATTCTCACTGAGTACTCTCTCTCTCTCTGTTTTTCACTCACTGAGTTCTCTCTGGCTCAGTACTCTCTCTTAGCCTCTCTACACAATTTCTCACTGACCCTTGATTGTTTTTTAGCAGTTGAAAGGATGATCAAATAAGGGACGAGGGGGACCCTATTTATAGGTGTAGAAGCTCCTCCCTTCTTATTTTTTTCTTCCTCCCATTTTTTACTTTTGCTCCTGCCTTTCTCTTTTGTCAACAAAAATACTGAAGCTTTCGGTGGCTTTTTCATTTTTGTCAAAAAGTGGCTGAAGCTCTCCCTAGCGTTAAGTTCAGATCATCCTAATGTCTCCAATTAAGAGTAAAAAAAAAAAGAAAGTGAGAGAAAGAGAGGGTCTCGCCTTGTAAAGAGAGATTGTAACTCTTAAATTTTATTCATAGTGGATTCTTGCATTATTGTCCGTGATTTTTACCCTAAATTCAT